CCCCAAAACCCCAAAACCCCAAAACCACAAAGAAAATATGAAGCAGATATTTAATAATTTCAAAAAAAAGATAATTAAATTTAAATGAATCATAAACAACGATAAATGAATACTTAACCGCATCAAAGCAGGATGGACCAAATCAACTTCCAGCAGCCTGATGAGTACCCTATCTTCAAGAAATCGGTGAGCATTGCGCAGAGCGATGAAAGTAACAGTCCCCTCAGGAACTACATTCAGCCTGATCCAGTTCTGGACGAGGATACAATCGATAATGAGCAATAATAGAACGAATATGAGAGCCAAGCTCAGTAATAGCAGCAATAGTTTTAGCAATACCAGCCACTTCTTTAACCCCCTAAAATCAAGCAATAAACTGTCAGTACTAGCTTTGCTTAGCCAAAAGTAGATACAAATATCTAAAAGCCAATCTAACTCTAGTAGAAATAGCAGTGCTTGCAGCCAACTCAACAACAATATTCATTTTAGCAGTAAAATGTGAGTTAAGTTCCGATCATTACGAGACTTCCTCATCACTCGCGCGTTAGAAGCTTCGTTGTTGCTAATCACGATGATAGCACGAAGTCTCAGTCAATGATGAACTTGAGCCCACAGATAAATGATCACTTAACCAATACAAATAACAACACAGATATCATCAATGAGATGATTTAGTTAAGCATCCAAAAGCAGCAGCTAGAGAGGAAACAGCAGTAAATCTAGATTCAAAGACTTCAACAAGAGCTCAATGAAATTAACAATGAGCTGGCAAGATAAGAGCTCAAGATTAAGTATGAGAGTGTGAAGCTGCAATATAATATGAACAGGAACTATAAACTTAAAGCCACACTCCTCTACAGTGTAATACTTGTACTTTTGATGATGCTTCACAATCTATACAAAGGCAGGAGTATATCGATGTTGGGTCAAGTGAGTTTGCTCGATGGCTTGCATAATGAGTCACTTGATGCGGAATAAAATGAAATAATCGTTATTTCGAATGACTTAGCAATTGAAGATGATACTACCCATATCAATGAGAATGTGAATCCATAGATTTATCTTGGAGAAGATTTTGATTATAGGCAAGTGAAAAACATGGCATTTACTTTTAACTAATAGAAAGCTTCACAAACTTTGAATTATGACAAGAATATAGTTTAAAATAAGATGAGAAAAATGATGGCAGATTTATATAGCTATAACTCAACAATATTTGCCAGATATCAAAACTACCTTTAAGATCCATATCGATTAATCAATCATAGAAAATCATAATTAAAAATGCAAAAAATCAAAACTCCCCTCAAAAGCTATCAGAGCATTTAGATGCAAGATGAATTGTCTAATTATCTAACCTAAACTGATATGGTAATAGAGCCAATAATTAGAAAGCTTGTTGAAATAGGGGGTTATTAGCAACATCATTATGTCTCAATTATTTTGAATAACTTGGAGGTTGACATTTAGACTTGCAAGAGCAAAATAGCTTAAAAAGCAAGTTAGTTTATGAGAGATAAAGCTGAATAAGAACTCCATTCCATTGATGATTACACATTTTCAGAGTCTAGTATAAGAAAGTAGATCCTAAGTCTGAGGATCGAATTAGACTCAGTAATACTTGATGATTGCTTTTAAAATTTTAAAGATCAAACATAAGTAATAATGCAAAAGTTGGAGGTCTATAGAAATTGAAATTCCAATCACTCTTAATGTGATATTGCTTGATTTATAAATAATTAGTTAGCTTTGTAACCTTAAATCATTAATGATTCTATTTTAAATAAATAAAAGTCTTTGGGGTTTTGGGGTTTTGGGGTTTTGGGG